TCCAACTCTTTGAGACCCCATGGACTATACAGTCCATGGAATTCTCCAGGCCAGAATACTGGAGTGGGTAGCCTTTTCCTTCCCCAGGGGATCTTCCCAACCCAGGGATCGAACCCAGGTCTCCTGCATTGGCAGGCAGATTCTTTACCAGTGAGCCACATGGGAAGCCACATTTTCGCTGCAGAAAAAAAGCACATGCGCAGGAGGGAGGTGGCCACGTGTGCTCTGCGGCCCTCATCCTCTTCCAGCTTTTCAGCTACTTCCTCTTCCCATTTACGTTTATCCCCTGTTATCCACACGCCTTCCCATTTCCTTTAGGGTTTCATTAAAGGCCAACCATCTGCCCCCAGTTAAATGGTTCTGTCTGAAAATTTAATCCCTTAAAACAACAGTGTCGGGTTCATTATACGAAAGGCTCCACTGCTGCCTGGGCGTCAGGGCTGGAAACCTCAGCAGCACTTCCAAAATGTGTGTGGCTGGGACCTAAGGTCATCATGAACCTCTTTGATAATGAACGGGGTTAAGTTGCTGGAGCCGCTGGGTCCTAGGCTTCTCTAGGGCTTCAGGAGTGTCCTGGTTGACATGCTAGGAGCTGCTCCTCCAATCATGCATCCCCAAGGGGGTTCCCAGGCCTCACCAGACAAGAATAAACTTCAGCCTTTGGGCTAAAGCATCTCAAAGGTCTTCCAGAATTAAAGACACAAACACGAAGCCCCTTCCTGTGGACTTTGGTGCATTATGGTGAGAGAATAATTCCATTCTTCCCTTTACAGGCTTGTCTTAGCTCACTCCTCCAGCAGCCAGCTCATCAGCATATAGAGTAATTTTGATAGAACCCCTGTAAAGCTTTCTCTCTAAAGACGAATTTTAATACCCTTCTGAGTGGCATTTAATATGATAACGGTATGTAAGTTTGACAGGAAGCTGTTTTCCAAGAGTTAAAGTCCTAACAGTTCGACACATCAGACTGACAATGGCTTTTCCTGATCATTATTAAATTCTCTGTGATTAGAAAATGGGCCAGTTCTATTGATTTAAGCTCTTTGAGTTAAGCTAAGCTTTAGAGGCCTTTCACAAGGCACAAAAAAAGGCATTTGATATTATATTTTACCTTCTCAATTAAAGCACTTTTCAGAGTACAAATAGCAGACAGCCAGGCATTAGGCAAGGACTCCAGGAAGCAAGGTGGGAAGAATTTGTGCAGAATAAAGCAGACAACTCAAGCTCCATCACTGCAGACTCAGGAAGGTCCAAGGTTGCATGTTCCCATGAGCACGCTTCTTGCTACTCTTGAGGACACCTGGGCCAAGGACACTTTGAATTGAATCTCTAATCTCCTGTAGATGGGGAGA